TGTAATTCGGACAGCAGGCGTGACCTGTATCATAAGAGGGGGAGTCGTGGTAAACGTGGGGTCAAGAATGGGTGGTGAACCAGCAAGTGGCTCATGGGGCAAAAAATAAGGGCCTGGTTAAAGAGGAGCGTAGGGAAGGCTAAACACTGGTTGAGAAAAAAAAAGAAGATATCCCCTAGAGATCCCTCAAACATTTCTCCTCCTTCCAGTCCTGACCCTTCACCGGAACACCCGGAGTCAGAGAGTGGAGGTGTAGAATATGGTTTAGGAAGCCCTTTAGAGGGTCCCTCAAATGTACCTCAGCCTCCCAGACCTGACCTTTCACCAAGACCCACAGAGACAGAGAGGGGAGATGGTGACTATGATTTAGGAAGCCCTTTAGAGGGCCCCTCAAATGTTACCAGACCACCCAGGCCTCCCCCACCACCAAGACCTGATGGGTCAGAGGGTTGGGATAACAAATCTGGCATGGAAGACAGTTTAGAGGACCCCTCAAATGCCCCTGGCCTCCTGAGTCATCAGAGGATGTATTACCAGACGTATATATGGTGCAGGTGAGAAGGCAAGAGTGGTCTGTAGCCATGTTTGGAGGCATGAGGTACACTGAGGAGTTCAGTTTCGTGAATCTGAAGCGTGTGCCGTTACATGTGGCATACAAAGCCATAACCCAAGGGGTGGAAGAAATTGTAGTAGAACTGCACCAGAGATTCACAGTCAATGACTATGCATAGTTACGTATTCAGGCAGATAGCATGGCAAACTGTTTATACACTCGTGCTATTAATTTAAACAAGATGACCCCAGAGCTGTTTTTAGAGTGGTTCAGTAACAAAGCCAGAGAGAAATATTGCTCGATTCAACATTTCGGCTCGTTGTGGTCATTGTGAGAGGCCGAGGAGGGTGGAAGCCATAGAGTTATAAGCTCTATCCCCTATTCCCAGATCATTACTAAAAAGAGGAAGTAGTTAATTGACTTGAATACTTATGATACTAACCTGTGCTTTGCAGGCAGTCTATTGGCTGTTACAGAACGTAGAGGGGCCAGAGATGTCGAACTGCTAGATGGTGCCAAAGAACTGCATAGGAAATTAGGCATGTCCATATACTAAAAGGTTATGCTCCATCAAGTACCTTTGTTTGAAGACCTTGCTTGAGTTGAACCTGCATTACACCATATCCTAATGCAAAGCACTATTCTTGTAGCAATAACAGTCACAGTTGTGAATCCCTAGTGGGTCATATCCAAACTGATGTCTGCATTCATATTCCAACAGCAATCCTAACAAGATTTTTATGAAAGTACTGTAGTGAAAAAGAGAAATGAATTATGGAAGAGGTTTGCAGCATAGAGATGTTTTCCTGAATTTAGAAGGAAATGTGACTTTTTTGGTTGGAGAAGGAAGACAACACCCATATGTCTTCAAATAAGTAAATTTGATTCAGGACTTGAAAGCTTGTATAGAAAAGAAGATTAAAAAGAAAAATGTCAATTGGATCTCTTCTGAGTAGACCTATTAGTGAGTTCAAATGGAAACATTATAGGGAGTGGGTTGTTTTATTGCTAGCTGTATACTGAGCATATTCATATTTGGAACTAATGGTTTGTTAAAGGACCTAGTCAGTTAAATGCCACATACAAGTTAGCAAAAGCAACAAAAGCCTCTTGAGATACTCAGGAGTCATGATTTAAAAAGAGTCTTTTTCCTGGTTTTCCCAGACAGACGTACCTGAGACAATTATATTTAAACAATATCAAAGGGTACCTGTACATGAGCAGGAAAGCTGTTCCGACACGCTGGAATTCCAGCGCATTGGAGCATTCTTGATTCACTGAGTCTGCTGAAGCATGGCAGTTACTATGCTCCAGCACCCTCCTGCGTCCTAAGTATCAGTGTCCTCATGCTTCAAAATGGTGGTTGAGGTGTTTTATCCAAGCTCGTTGACAAGCTTTAGATAAAGTGTCTCCTCCCCTCCCCCCCCCCACCATTTTGAAGTGTGGGTATGCTGATACATGAGATGCTGTGAGTGCTTTAATTACGGCAGCTCTTGGAGCTGCTCTAACTGAAGCGCCCCCACCCTCTCCCACTCCCAGAGCATATATATAAATGCCTTTAGGTAGCACAGTTTAAGAAAAATGCTGCATTTTAAATCACTATTGTTGATATTTATTTCTTTATGCTCCTATTTTTGCAAGCACATTTATAACTGCAGAATTTGGCCCAGAATTGTGACATATTCAAAAAGTTTGTAGCCAATGTAATGAAACCAAAAGAAGAATGATTTATTGTTCTTAGAGCATCTTCCTAAAGAGTTGGGGAAATATGGTTGAAGGTCTACAGATCAGCAGATATACATAAGTATACATTTAAGGATGGGTATATGAGAGAGCACACTATTTTAAAACCTGCAAACACCACAAAAATCTAGAATGCCTCAATTCCTATGCATAACTTGGAAACATCCCAACCACCTGAAGTGTATGGCAAGAAGTATAGAAAGGCAGAAAAAAACAAAAGGAGAAAAACAATTTTAAAATATACCAAGTTGTTAATAAAAGATGAGAGAGACATCCACCCTCTCCCTGACTGGAGGAATATTTATGAGTAAGCATATTTTTCATGGCGTACTATGTCTAGGAAGTGGAAGGCAGGTTTTGTGTGGCTTCCAGTGGTGACGCATAAGGGGTGCACATGCACCCCCTGACCGGCCACATTTGCCGCTTTGCTGATGGACACGGGGGGCAGGCAGGAGCGCTGGTGCCCACCTCTGCAAGCACCAGCCAATTGCACTGCTTATGGGAGTGGCTGTAGCAGTCGGCTGGCACTTGCTGCCAGAAGCAGCTGCAGCCACTCCTGGAAGTGGCTCCAGTGATTGCAGTGTTTGGCCACAGCAGTCAGCTGTTGTGGGCCGGTCTGTAAGATCACCCCGGGGGGAACCCCCATCTCCCTGGTCACCCGGAGCAGCTGCGGGGGACCCTCCCTGCTTGGCAGGTGTGGTTGTAGGTGGGGCACATGCCCCCCCCGACTAAGGCGGCAGCAGTCACCCATGGTGGCTTCCTCTTTAACCCACAACCTCCACACACCTAGTAGGTAAAAGACTTTGCACATGCTCCCTCTTAATAGTAACTGTTCAAAGCAGCATTCACTTCTTTATAAACCTAATGCAGGCAGACACAACCACTCCTGCTCCTGCCACAGCTGCTTCCTGGTTCAGCCCTGTGTATGCCTCCTGAAAACTACCTGAGACCGTTTCATTGCAACACGCTTGAAAGTGGTTGAGAGCCACTGTTCACAGAGTCAGCTAAACCTTGAAGAACTGGTGGTGTCATATAGATTGGACTGGCTGCTGCATGCCACTGCTGCCACCTATCTGTTGATCCAAATAAGTCAGGAAGAGAGACCTATAAAATAAAGTACTGGAATAACAGTAGTTTCATGAAGCTAGAATAGGCCCTGAATCAAATTGACACTCCTCATTGGCTTTGTTATATATACAAGCTATGTGTATATTAAAAAAAACAAAAAGGGAAATGGAAGGGAAGGCAGCTGCAGTTCTCATATTATAGGAACACAAGTTTCTCCATAATTTTGGCCATGCTGGCTCAGAAAAAAATTGGGAGGTTCTCAAAGTTCAGAAGTAGTCCCAAGAATACGGGTGATCTTAATAAAATGTGATTTGCACTTAGAAGTGCTGGGTTCACTGGTCTGCTCTGTTCCACTCCTAAATAAGCAGCCATAATAGACTGTCCATTGTGAGTAAATATATTTTCGTTACAATGTCCTCAGAAAAACCTTCAAACACATACTAGCAAGTGATCTGCATGGTAATGCGATAACAAGCTCTGACATGTAGGATTACACAGTTACTTTAAAAATCAGGACATATAACAACACATAATTAAACAATAATTACTCCCAACTGCTTTGGAGCCCAACTAGAAAACTGAAGTCCATCAGCTGACCTTGACAAGAAGTTAAATGGCCTGGCGACCTCTCCTTCATTTTCAGCACAGAGCAGCAAGACCAAACTCAGTCTTTCTCTGCACACAAAGAAATATTTTTGTCCAGGTTCATACAACGCTTCAGCAAGAGAATCATACAAAACACTAAGAACAGATCCCTGTTTTCCCTTCTCTGGTCATCTAGGTCTGAAGGCAGTTGTTTTAAAACATTATTCATTAAAAAAAGGAATGAATGTCAGTGTTTCTGATTTCCGTTTTAGTGTATTCAGCCACGGAACTAGGTTCTTGCTAATGCTTCTGCTTTCTTTGTGAGCTGCATATAGTGAAGCATTTCCCTCCAACTATTTGCAGGCAAAACCCCTTAATTAAAACAATGTTACCTGTGGTTTGCATACATGTGGGCAGAGTCACGTGTATGTCTGGCCATTGGGCCTAATGGAAAGGCCATGGAAAGACAGGGAACACTTGTCTCAGGCAGAAGCAGCCATGGTGATCAATACAGACCTTTGTGACTGAATTCTTTTGTGGACTTAGAACGCCAAATTTTCAAGCTGGTTACTGTTATGGCTTGCACCTATGTGAGTGTACAAATCATTTGGGAAAGGACTGTTGATAGACTGTGTGAGTTACATGAATAATTGTTTCCCTTCTATAGTTTTTTTTTCCCACAAGGCAATATGAAACTGGTGCATATGCCTACTTTCTTTGTTGCAGTTATTTTTTTGCAGACAAACTTTGGCTGGCCATTTTGCCTAGTTTTTTTTTCTTAAGAGCACAAGCTTGACCAATCGCTGGTTGTGTTTGTGCATCATTACTTTGCATTTCTAAACAAATTATTTAAGTTGGCTTAAATGCTGATGCAAACAGAGGTGTGCATAATAGATTTTAATTAAATTAAATATAACAATCCTCCAGAAAAAAAAAGTAGTGTTCAGTTCCAGAGTTAGCAACATAATCATAAATCATCTTTGTATTCATTACATTATGTATGAACATAGGGCCAGTAAATGCTTATTGATCCCAACCCATTACACGGTTTGATAACCAGAGTAAATAGTATATATTTTGTATCCCAGGGTAGGTGAACAACATTTGTAATATTCCCCCATGCCTCTGGAGCCTTTTTCTCCCATTTTTCATTCTTTCATTTTCAGGAGCTATTTCCTGCTCAATGAGCTTAACATAGGCATGTGCAAATGTGCACACAGGACTCTATACCTAGAATTCCTAAATGGCTGGATCTTTCCTATGCTAGAGGAAAGTAAATCTGGATTTACACCCTGTGCTTCTAAGCAGAGCATACTACATTGATTGAGACGAGATGGCAAATATTCTCTGCATCTGTTGAAATCCTCATCAGTATTGCCAGTAGAAGGAGCAGATATATTTTATGTTGCATACTTAATATTAACTACTGATAGGCAAAACCCTTATAGTGGTGAGATTGCCAAATATAGCCACTAGGTTCTTAAAAATATATTGTCAAGTAAGCACCAAAATCACAACTTCTGTTGATTTTCCAAGGTCTAAAGTTGTGATTTCGGTGCTTGACGATATATTTTTAAGAACCTAGTGGCTATATTTGGCAATCTCACTACAATTTGAAAATGCAGAGACATTCAGTAGTTCCTCATTCCTTTGGTACCTATTAGAATTTTGACGTTCTCTGGGTCAGATGCTCATCCCAGTATGTGAAGCTGCCAACAACCTTTGAGCCTTCTGTAGTTTTCAGAAACCTGTACAATTAGAGTTTCAAAATTCTTTAGAGCATAGCCCATAGCTTAATTGAGGGACTTGTGGACCCTTCATTGCCAGCTGAGCGGCTCACCTTTTTTTCCCATTCACAATTGTTAGGGGTCTACTTAAGTTGAGGAGGCAGGCAGCCAATTTTGTGGGGAGTTCATGGGGCTAGCTGCCATTTTCATGGGCTGATCAGGGACCTCCCCCCCACCATGCCTCTGGTCAAGGGGCTCTGGCAGTCACGCTGTACACAACATGATTTGCAGTTAATACCATCATTATACACTTTATTAAAGGACGTCGTAAAAAGGAGTTTACTCAGGGCTAACCTTGAGACAGGCAATTCATATTACCTCTTAAACACTAGCTCTTAAACATCCAGCGGCAGTAGATACAGACATTCTCTGTCGTTGTGGGGTGAACAGTTGTCCATATACTCAGACGGCATGCTCAGTATCCACTGAGTTTGTTGGAATGGTGAGACAATGTCTTGCCGGGGTGTAGAGATGTGGAAACCAATCGCAGACAGAGTCCCAAGGCACAGGCAGAGGCACAAGCATCCAGCACTCTTTGACAAAGTTCATGTTATCAATGTGTTCCTTGTCATGCTCTTTCTGCCATCCAGGGATTGATTTCAGTAGCTGAGGGTTACAACTCAGAACAAGCACCTGGTTGGGGTCCAAAATGAAAACAGCACTAAGGAAGAAGGCAGCCGGTTGTCTGAACAGTGGTGGCAGTGACAGGGTTGTACCTGCAGTACTGGTTCAGATTCACAGGTATTATCTGTAACAGATCCGTTCTCCACTGCTTTTCATAAGGATAGCTTGACAGTTCTTGTGATGTCCTATCTTCAACCCAACTTATCAAATCCATCAACTTGTTGTGTGCATAGTGGATCACAGCCTGCCAGCCTTCAAACCATGGTAGAAGCTCCATGAACCAGGTGGTATTTTCAGCCACGAATGTCACTTGATCTCGAATGTTGCCCCATCTTAAGATATCATGAAGCTTAAGCATGCACTGGGTGTGATTTCCAGCTTCTCAGTCATAAACTGCTGGTAGTACTGCATATGCTTGGAATGGTAATGAATCACGTTGAACCAGAAATTCCTTGTGAGCACAGGCTTCAGTGGCAGTGACACATTGGCATGCAAGTTCCCTCTTTGACTGCCACAAGACTCCCTATACCAGACCTTATGGCCTGGACTGCTTGAAGGCTCTCTAGAAGGAGGACAGCACGCTATCCACGTAAAGGAAGTGTATATACCAGACGTCACTTACTAAAGTCAGAATGTGCACATTGCAGGTGACAGACACTGCACTGAGCAGCATTCCTTACAGCACGTCAGAGAAAGCCTTGCATGTGTATATGGCTTTGTTGTACAGAAATGCTGAGATCTTGTCAAATTCTAAGCCATAGTTAATAACTGACTTCACTATGACCTGAGACATGGTAGAAAAATTGACAGAAGTGAGGTGGACTGGCTCAGTTTGAAATGCAGGCAGGTCCTTGTCTGTCTAGCTGTCAAGCAGAAATAAAATGTGCAGCAAGTAGTTATCTTGAGGGTCAGTGGCTTCATCGGCCGCAATGGAGAAGGTTTCATATTCTGCCAATACAACTTTGTGAGCTGTACATGCAAAGAATCACTGCAGGGAGATAGTGTTGGTGAAGCTTGTTGGCACATGGAAAACTGTTAGTATTTGGCATATTTTGGTTCAGGTATTCCATTAACTTTGAGTGATCAAGTTTCTCCAGTGGGATGTTTTAAAAGACAGTGCCAGATTCCTCTTGCTTCCCTGTCTGGCCCCAGCCTAGCTCCTATCCCGAGCCTGTATTGCAGGTTCAGCTCTGAATTATTCCCTTTCCCCCAAACTTTCCCCTCTGTGCCTCAGGACTACATGGCTTCCTACCCTTTTCTCTGCTTGCTGGTAAGTTTATTTTTGTTTGTTTGTTTGTTTGTTTGTTAGTGAGACCACCATTTTTCGAGGAGCTTGACTGATTTTGAATTTTCTGCAAGAAACAGGGAATTGTGATTTCAGTAGGTCCTAACAACTGAATAACGTCTCCATATCAACTGCAAAAGTTACATGTTTTAAAAACTAAAAATCATCAGTGAAGTATTTAATGTATCTTAGCTGCCTCTCAAGTGATGGAGTAGCTGAGAACAAAAAGAACTAGCATTGCATGACTAAGTTCGGATCTGCTGACCACTACCAAGTGCATTGCTGAAACTCTGTAAACAGGGAAATGATGAATAGTGAATAATAATCCATATTGTTGCTCCTACAACATATACTGTGGCATTTTTTGCAGACATTGCTAGTAAAAAAACCCCCAACAATTATTTTCAAGGAAAAGATCCATTTCCCAAAATATAAGCAGATGTCAAACAGAAAAGTGGCCCATATTTTGTTGAATTAAATAATGTTCAAGAAGTGGAATGAATGTGTGCTTTGCTGTTGGTCTGTACTCAGCCCACGTATACTGCGGCCAAAGATGACCCATTAAAACTAGAGAGCTAAATTAACCTTATCTGTTCTCTTCAGAGACTTGAGAGTAGGGAGGTAGAAAAAGACTGTGCTAGCATAAACTAATTGCAGTCTTCTGTAAGGAAGGATTCCATCATATACCACTTTTTGGGGTTATTTTTTTTATTCTCAACCTAATATCTCTGCCATGTTACTTTAAAAAAGGTATCTGAATTCTGGATGCTACTGTAAATCCAGTCAGTCTTCCTCTCTCCTTTACAAAAGAAACAATCTGATGCCACTGCAGTGAACACATAGACTAAGACTTCAAAAGGCCTTTTGATCATGGACACTGTTAAACTACCAATCAGTCTTGGAACTGAAATCTCTCTTAAAATTTGGACAAGCATTTCATGTAACAGTATATGTGGTTTATCATATTGTTTACTACCATCAACCCCCTGACTCAATGCAATTAGACTTTAACAAATGAATAATAAATAGGTAATCCTCTGTTTTATAATTCTTTAACGTGTTGCTGCCTACAAGTTGTACATCTAAGAGGAAAGATGGTCCAGAGTGGAGGATATTGGTTTGGGATTCGTGAGTTCAGTTTCCTTCTGTACTATTGAAGGAACACATGTGGTGTTGAGCAAGTTTTTTACTCTCTACCTGAGCCTCAGTTCTCACCTGCTGAAACAGGATTACAGCACAGTGCTTTGCCTTACACAGTTGTTGTGGCAATGAATACAATATAGACAGTTCAAATACAAGGTAATGGTGGCCACATAAATACCATAGAGAGATAATTAGGGATATCACTGTGAAATAAAATGCTGTCTTCATGCATACTGCAAAAGGGCAAAATTAAGAAAATCAGTTTGGCTGTCTACAGATGTGGAAAAAAAATACCAGACAATGCTTTACTTTCAGCTCCTCATGCCCCTGCACAGAGTGCAGTACAACGCATGCCCAGAAGAAACATCACGTTAGTTGGACCTGATTGCCCAATGTCTGTATAGACTACGTGCTTCAGAGGGGCTTTTTGATGCTTTTAGCTAATAGCTAATTGAACCAGCTATTAGATAAAAGTGCCAAAAAGCCCTGCTGAAGCTCCTGATTTATACAGATGCTGGGGAGCTGAGTCAAACTGACATGCTTCCTCTTTCAGTAAAGTGTGTTCTTCAGCCGGGGGAGGGCGGGGGCATGTCTGTCAGCGGCCTTCATGGCTGGGATGAAAACTTGGAAGGATACATGTGACAAAACCCAGGACACCAGTATTTAAAAAGCAATTGTAACTTGTTGAGCTAAAATATGTTACCTCTGGAAAAACAGACAAAACCCTTTTAGTTTTAAACACTAAGTAATAGAAAGTGGTTGATATTTTCATATGTAGGATTTTTAATGCAGTATTTCAGCACTGTTTTTATGTACTAAAAAGAAACAGTTGGTCCATGCTTATAAATAGTTGCTCCCCACAAATGCATGTACACACATTCAATCTATATATAAATATACAATTTTATTTCATGCTGGATTTCAGTAAATACCACTGTCAACCCAAATACTGCTAAACAAAATGTTGTTTGATTTTAATTCTACTAGCATGCTATTTATTGTATAATGGCATAAAAATGTTAATGCCGTGAAGTTGATACCAGTTTGTACACTATTTTATTCATTCTTACAGTGAATTCATTTGTACATATGCAGTCTATGCATATATTGTGTGTATGTGTGCACGTATGCACAGACTAATTTAGAAAATTTATATGCAAGTAATATACATTTCAAAATACATGTTTTAACATGATAGTTTCTCCTCAATTTATTGTCCTCAATCACTACCTCCTCTGTGCTGCCAGTTAAGGTGGCATCCCTCTGAGGTTTTTGAGTCTTAAAGAAAAGTAA